CGCCTGAGTAGAACAGCTTCCATCCATTGAGGTTCAGGAGTCCAGAGCCTGGGCGTTTTGTTGATGAGAGACAACAATGTCGAGTTGGTACTTCGGGGCCTCATCAACTAATTCATGTTCTTTTCCTCTGAGTAACGATATGTTCTTATTTCCGACTTTAAGCTCCCACTGGTGGTGTCGTTTTCGTGGAGTGTTTTCTGACGTGGTATAATGGCATCGCGCTGTCTGCCTTCTTCGTTCAGAACAGGTAGCGACTCCCTTGCTGACTGGTAACTTCGTCGTCGTTGCATCGGTTTTCGTCAGCCGTCGTTGTGCAGCCACGCTCCCGGTTGGGAGATGGCAATGAGCAGGTTGTGATCTCGGACTTTTTACAGCGTGCCTCAGTCCCCCAACAGCCTGCGCGGCCCCCTGTAACCCGGGCGACGACCGAACCGGTATAGTTTTGAATGGCGTCAATACCATGAGTGGCAGGTGGGTGAATTTTGCGGAGACTTGCCACGGTCTCGAACCTTTCTCCATTCTCATCCGGGCTTGGGACCGGCAGTCGCGGAGTTCTGACATTTTATATTATGAGTTATTTCATATTAATTTCATAATTTCTCTGATGCTGTACCGAGTTTGGTCTAAGACGTCAGTACCTGTTGTACGGTGTTTTTAATTACAAATTTGAGGCGTTATTATCCCATGTGTGATTTACCTACACTCACTATCATAACGTTGTATTAAAAGTGGTCAAGTTACATCTGTCATATGGTTTTCTAGTGGACAGTCGGAAGCAGCTGTTACAGTTGAATCTGCGCGACGTAAAGTTGGCCGAAGATGTTGATTGTTCTTACGTGGCGCGTCTTTTGGATGGCTATTCTGGCGCCGACATCACTAACGTTTGCCGGTAAGCGTTTGAAGCCTTATCTGAATATAAGTTGCAAGCCAGCCAGCACGTATCTTTCTTTCTTTGAACCTTGTAAGCACTTGGTTTGTCAATAGTTTTAGGGCACCTGGTTTGCATGAATGCATGACCGCATCGTTTGTTGGTTCTACAACTTGTTAGTGGCACGAACCCTTTGACAGGCTAGTATTCTAGTTTCTTAGTAAACTTTACATTTTGTTGACCATGTCATTATGAGTGCTTATGACAAACTGGTGTGCAGTACTCCTTACCTATTTTATACGTGCAAATGTTTTCGTTGTTTATACGGTAGCCAACATTATGAAATATTTTCATCATGTTTTCTTTGAGAGTTCCTGCAGACAGCGATAATCCAGTGTTTGTGGCTAATTAGATTTGAGGATAATTAGTCTTCACACGGACTGATTCGTTTTAATTCTCATTTTGCCGCTACCTCCTTCTTTATCGGTTTTGGGATTGGTGGCAGGACCGCAACAACGTATACCATAGCGTCTGGTGAGAGCATACTTGAATTGAGTTGTGTAATTGAACAGAGTTGTGTAATCTCTTTCAAAGTTGGCTTCATGTCTAAGAAATTCCTTATGGGTTTGGTTTAGCAACACACGCATACTGGTTCTCTTTGACCTGCCTAATGGACCCATTTCGCGGTTCATGATAGACACAAATGATGTTGCTCATAAAATAAAAATGTATGTTTTGCCGTTATTCTCCGTCATTTTCTGTTATGTATAGTTTTTAGTGACGCTGCCATGATGTCTATGAGGAGGCGTATTGCGGGCCTTACACCAGAAGAAATCCGATCACTTCCGAAAGAAGAGGTGGACCTGCCTGTTACTCAGCAGGACTTTATCGAAGCCATAAATAAAACTGGCAAATCAGTGTCTAAACAAGACCTGGTCAAATATGAAAAATGGATGCGTGAATTTGGATCAACCTGAAAGTGCGCATGGAAATACATGCGATACCATGGAATATTTTTGGTTTTGTTACTATTATTTGCTTTTTTCGTTTTACTTTTTTATCTTGCATTTATAGGTACTTTTT